TAGGTCAAAACGAAAGAGGAAGGAGGATCGGCTTCATATGCTGCTAACTTGCTCGCGTTGTGGAAGACAAAGTCGACAGTAAAAAAATATTACATCAGCACAGAGACACCTAGAGTAACTTGCGTAGCCAATGAAATCACGCTACGACACCTCATGCAATAGAAAAAAAAATGGCGCGGTAACACGGGAAATATTTCCCCCCAGTGTTATTCATGTGTTATTGTGTGTTATTCATGTGTTACTGATGTGTTATTGTGTTATTATAACACAAAGAATATTCTCAAGATAATAACACATGAATAACACACAATAACATCAGAATAATACGATGAAATATTCCCGATAGAGAAAAAAATAGCGCGGTAACACGGGGAAATATTTCACCCATGTTATTCATGTGTTATTGTGTGTTATTTATGTGTTATTGATGTGTTATTGCATTATTATAACACCAAGAATCTTCCCAGGACAATAACACATGAATAACGCACAATAACACATGAATAACACTAGGGGAATATTCCCCTTGTTACCACACCATTTTTATTTTTCTGTCGCGTCGGGGGTCGTGGCGTGATTTCATTGGCTACACACGTTACTTTACATGCGTAGTACTGATGTAATATTTTTTCAGTCGACAGAGGGGAAGAAGTCTCAGGCGGGATGCTCTAGCGGACCCACCGAGACCAAAGGAATTTATGGCTGAGGGAAGCTGAAAACTTATAAGGTAAATAAATTTTATATTTTAATATATTAAAATATTATATTATGAATAATTATATAAATATATATCTATTTAATTAATGGGAAGTTTTTACGATATAAAGATTTTCGGCATTGAAGGAAAAGTTTGTGAAGAAATCAAGGAAGGAGTTCGATCTCCAAACCTATAAGATAAATGTTAATTCTTGTGTTTTTATTGAAATTAATGATCTAATATGATAAAGTAATTAATGTTATTACATTTTATTAATTAGAAAGTGTGAAAGAATCTGATAAATTCTTAGAATCTCAGAAAGAGGTGAAGCAAGACTTTAAAGAGGAATAAGGTAAAGATTTACAATTTTTATGTATTAATTATGTAAATTAGTTAATTAATGGTGTTGTTAATTTTATTTCAACAATATTTATGAATTAACTTCAGTAATTTTTAATTTATCAAACAACTGAATTAAAGTACGATAGAGAAGTCAAAATGCTAAAGAAAGTACAACAAAGTGAAGGGTTAAGCTAACTCAGAAGTTTCTTTAAATCAAGGTGAATGATTATTTACTTTTATATATAAATTAATGTTTAATTAAATGAATAATTACAATAATAATTTAAAACAGTACTTTATTCTTGAATTTTATTTTGAAAGTATGAAATGACATAAAAGATGGACGGAAAAAGATAAAAATGTAATACTTGACTTTTAAAAAGGTAAAAAATGATAAATACTTAATATTGAATGGAAATAGATAAATTTAAAGTTTTAATGAAATAAACTGTATTTTTTTCTGTCATTCATGCATAACATAACATGATAATTTAATGCATATTTGTTTATAATTACTCATTAAGTCATATTTACGGTTGCAATTAATGTTTTCTTTTAAGAGAAAGAAAATTTTAGGTTGTTATGTCTGATAGAAAATATTATCTACAAGAAGACGGTAGTTGATAGATACTAATATGATATCCTTGTAATTTTTTTTTGTACAGTTTCTTTGGATAAACATATATTATTGTGTGGATTGAGATTTTAACTGCAGATTTTCTATTACTATGATTCAAATTTTCTTATTGTACTTGTGAATAACAGCTCTTTTATATGTATTGAAAGTTAAAAAAAAAACAGATAGTTTATTAGATGCTAATATCGCCCGACTGCATTACCCGCCTTAGTTAATTCTAAGTACCCGGTCAGGTTGTAACAAAGTCTTATGGTAGAGCCCTAATCCCGCTAGAAGAAGCTTGTTCCTCCCTCCCACGAGATTTTGATCCTCAGTACAAAGCCTTGTGGGATCGCTTTGCCTTCGAACCCTCCCACATGAGTTGTTACTGTGTTCGATGCCTCCTTCCTTCTATCGCTCCTCTTCTTTCGACTTTAGCACCCTCCTTCCTCACGATTTTTTTACCTCCGCACTCATACGTCCCGCAAGCTTCCTTCGATCAGCCAAGGCACCAATCGCAGAGCCACTCGACCTTCATCTAAGTCGTTCTCACCTTTGCGCGCATCCCTTTATAAGGCGAAAGTAACCTTCAGTTTCCAGATACATCGCCTCATCTTCACGACTGTTCAATACTTTTATCTGGCTTCCTCATTTCCCCGCCTCTTGCTCAGCTCCTCGTTTCCTCTCCCACTCTGTGGCTACTCGATTCCTCATCCCACGGTAACTGAAATGAAACATTAAAATCTTTCCAACTTACAAAATTTATGTCCTTGAGATTTAAAAATGAACGGCAAGTTTCGTCTAATTAAGTTAGTCAATATTAGGTTTTCATAAACTTTCTATCCGAAACTCGTCCCTTATAATTTTAGATTTCTTTATGTCTGAATGGATATAACTATTAATTTGAGTTAACTTAAATTTTTAAATATTATTATTATTATTATTATTACCTTATTGGTTATTTCATCAATATTATATTAATTAATCTTAAACCTTATGCTCTGATATAACTTTTGTCACGATTTGGTTGGAGCTTAAAATTAACTAAGGCGAGAGCAGATGATCAAACAATGAGAACTAAACTTTCTATATTCAGTTGCTATTTAAAAAATGAAAGATACATAATTAAATTAAATTTAAGCGGTATAATTAACTTTACCTCGTTGTTGGTCTTCTATAGTTCATCTTTAATCAATTAAATTAACATGAAAATTTAGTTTAAAATAATAGTGAGATAAACAAATCAGTGAATACTCATATTCTTAAACTACAATAATATAATGAAAAATATAAACAATATGCATGTTAGTTAAATTTTTTAATAAATCAATATAAATATTTGATATACTATTCAATAAATCTTATCATATCAATAGCATATCAATATCATTCTACATCTGTACAGCCGTCACAGAAACAAGATCTAAAAATTATACCACTTGTGATACTTCAATATCAGTATCATTTTTTATTTACATGCACGAACACCTTAGTGTTCGCCTATTAATACCATGAAGAGGCGACTCCATCAAACTCAATCATGCACATATAAGCATACAAAAAAAATATCATTTATTAATAATGAATATTTCATTCTCATTTGCATAGCAGTCAATATTCTTGTATAATATTCAACAACTACGATAATTAAATAAAATTGAACACAAGTCATTTTTACAATATGAACAAAACATGATAGAATTCTAAATCATGTGCATACAGTACTATAACAACAACTGTGAATGCATTTGATTGAGAAGAAACAAAATATTAATATAGCAAAAGCATATAAGCACTCACCTCGATGTCGATTAATTTGTTATTTAATTTACCTTGACGTCGACTCTTTCAAAACTACAAATCTAACAAAGTATAAAATTACTTTATTATTTTAAATAAACTATTAACTCTTAAATATTATTTTTTTATTATTTTACTTTGTGTAGTCTTATATATATATATATATATATATATATATATATAGTTGAT